TTTCACAGGCTTCAGAGTAAACACCATCATGGACTGTATCAGCATTGTGGTGGCTGAGACCACTCTCACCATGCTGAGACCACTCTCCACACGCATGAAGGTACCGGCAGAGGAACAAAGGCATGTGGGTCCCGGGGCTGAGCATCCTCCACCCAGATCCTCCAAATTCCAGTAGGCAGGGGTCACACCCACCAACTGGCCCCCTGGCACCATGTAATCCCATCAACGGCCAAGACTCAGAGACTATAAAACCCAGCTCCCGGAACCGCGCGGCCGCGAATGTCTATGATAATAAGACATCTTATTATCTCATTCCTACTTTGGACAAACTGGCAGGCTACCGAATGTAACCTGCCCACACAGCAGAGTCTGGCAAACTCCCCGTGGCGTACCCAATATGCCAAATACCAGTAACAATGATGAGTCTCATTCTCCTTACCCTGAAAGAGCCTTGAATATGGCACTTTTTAAAAAACCTCAGGGCTCGGACGAAGGAGACGCTACTGGGGCCTGCTCAAGGCAATCAACAAACAACAGGATGGTCGTGATTGTGACGGACTGTATCAACTTAATTGATCAACATTCATTTTGATCTCAGGGAAGCACTCAGGAAACAGGAGAGGCAATGCACAGAAAGAAAACTAAGGAACAACAAGACTTCAGTGTAGGGCTCTCAAAAAAAAAAGTCAACTATAACAGTGTACTGCATACAATACAGCAATTCAGGGAAGTATTGGTTAAATAAACCTTCATTTGTTACATAAAGATACTATATTGGGCCCCTCCCCTTCCTTTTCCTTCCCCTCCCCTCCCCTCTCCTCCCCTCTCCTCTCCTTTCCTTCCTTCCTCATTCCTTCCCTCCCCAGTCCTTCCCTTTCTTCCTCATTCCTTCTTCCTTCCCTCCCTCCCTCCCGCCCTTCTTTCCTTCCTTCCTCCCTCCCTTCCCTCCTTTCTTTTCCTTTCCTCCCTCCTTCCTCCTCTCCCTCCTTCCTCCCCCTCCCTCCCAAAAAACAAAAAACTAACAAACAAACAAAAAGATACCGTATTGGGGGAGAGGAAGGGGTACCATAAGTACCACAGATCTGTTTCTTGTTTGTACAGAGTTCGGACAAAATAATCCCAGAAGCCCCTTCACCAACCTCCAATGACTCTCGAATCTTTCTGCACCATCGACCTCTTTCTGCTTCCTAGAGCAGCCAAGATCATTTCTTTGTACACTCAGCTCCTTGATGAAGAATGAAGCCCCAGATTCATCAAAATCATTCCAAGGTGGCGGTTACCATCAAACGTGTGCATTCTTCGGCACCATCTTTCTCTGGGAATCTTACTTCATATCTTACAAAGGGAGGGCCAAGGAGGGTGTGGATCATCTCTAGTTAGTCACCAAGAAGTTCATAGGCACAGGGAAACCGAGAGAATCTTGACGATGTGGCTGAGGCTCTTCCTCGGGGACAAGAAGGCATCCCAAGATGAGTCGTGTACACCCTGTACCTGCCGATGCTGTACACTGCCTCATCCTACAGAATTATTGCTAGATCTGCAGAGGGGCTTCTGCACGCTACCTCCCGCTACCACTCACCCACCCACCCACCCATACACACACACATACACCCTCACCCTTCATCTCTGCGACTACCTCCCAAGCCACCAAGAGATGAGGAGGTAAAGTTCATCAAGTAGCTGGAAGATCATTTTGGGGAACCCTGGGCCAGGATCCTTTAAAAGCTCATCCTTTCAGAACTGAAGGACACCATGTTGAGTGAAGCCAAAAGAAGGATAAACACAGACTGAATTTCATTTATCTTTAGAATATAGAATAACAGGATGAAGGAATGCAATGCAATCAAGGGAGGATTCCTAGACCACCCATGACCTCAGAGCATTCAGAGGACACAGAACGCAAGAAAACTGAGGGAAACAGGTAGACAGAAAGCAATGGGGGGGGGGGGGGGGACAGGGTCAAGGACCTCAGGTACTTCGGTGTTGTAGAGTATAGCTACAGATCCAACCCAGAGCCGAAAACACGAATCCAAACTACTTAAAAGTCAAACTTTAAAAGGTGCCTGCAAAGGCAATGTACAGCGTAGGGCCTTTGCCTTTCACACATCCTACCCAGGTCTGATCCTGGCATCCCACCTGGTCCTCTCTGAGCACCACCAGGAGTAATTCCTGAGCACTGAGCCAGGAGTAACCCCTGAGCATCGCAGGGTGGCCCAAGAACAAACAAAAGTGTCTGTCAAGTTAACTGGCTGAGGTGGGGATGGGTGGCTACCTGGGAACAACCGCCAAAGGGCAACAGACCCTGGTGGTGGGACGAGCGCGACAACACTGCACAAACTATCAAGAACTTCGTAAATCATGATTCTAGGGGAAAAGGGAGCTCAGACAGAGAAGGGAGCACCAAATAACGGGTGTTGGGAGGATCCGCCTAGGATGGGAGAAGCATGCTGAAAGTAGACTATAGACCAAACATGATTGCCTCTTTTGCAAACCACAACACCCAATAAGAGAGAGAGAGAACAAAGGGAATGCCCTGCCACAGAGGCAGGGGGGATGGGGAGGATGGGGGGTGGGAGGGATACTGGGACCCCTGGTGGTGGAGGATGGGCGCTGGTGGAGGGATGGGTGTTTGATAATTGTATAATTGAAATCCAAGCACCAAAATTTGTAAGTCTACAACCGTATCTCATGGTGTTTCGCTAATAAAAATTTTTTTTAAAAAATTGAAAAAAGGGGTTCATCTTCACCACCCCTCTACCCCAGAATCACCTGCACCCCGACTTAGGGTGTGTAATTCCTTCTTTTATTCCACGGGGGCTCCGAGAGGGAGGTATGAGCCGGGGGTGTGGGGGCGACTAAAACCTCATGGGAAGGGGGGCGTTTCGGTCCGCCCTTCACGCCCTACCGAGGTCACCAGTTGCCCCCCTATGAGCGGCTCTCCAGCACGGCCACAGCCCCAGAAGCACAAGGACTTAATGCAGAACCCAGCAGCTTGGAGCAGAAAAGTGAAAGGACTATGCGTTAATCCAGGCCATCATGTCTGCCCAGAAGGGAAAGGGTGTTGGTCCCTTCCGCCCTCCTCCCTCTGGAAAGAAAGATGGCGGCCACATGGGAGCCTTGTGGACAGCAGGTATGAGCCGGGGGTGTGGGGGCGACTAAAACCTCATGGGAAGGGGGGCGTTCCGGTCCGTCCTTCACGCCCTACCGAGGTTACCAGTTGCCCCCCGCGAGCGGTTCTCCAGCACGGCCACGGCCCCAGAAGCACAAGGACTTAATGCAGAACCCGGCAGCTTGGAGCAGAAAAGTGAATGGACTATGCGTTAATCCAGGCCATCAGGTCTGTCCAGAGGGGAAAGGGTGTTGCCCCAGTCGCCTTCTCCTCTCTGGAAAGAAAGATGGCGGCCGCATGGGAGCCTTGTGGACAGCAGGTATGAGCCGAGGTAGTGGGGGCGACTAAAACCTCATGGGAAGGGGGGCGTTTCGCTCCGCCCTTCACGCCCTATCGAGGCCACCAGTTGCCCCCCACTAGCGGCTCTCCAGCACGGCCACGTCTCCAGTGCACAGAAACCAATTTCTGAACTATCTGACTTTCAGTAGAAATACTTCCAGGTTCAATAAGTAAAATAGCAGAAATCCAAAACCAACATTTAATTCTTGAACCCAGCTGTAGAAAGCAAATCACGTCACAATGCTTTATCAGCATGTCTGATTTGGGGGGGGGGTAAACTCCAAATAATAGTGGTGAATCTTTTATTGAAACAATGAATCTAATCAAAACAGATAGAGTGTTAACTAGAATTCATCTGCCCCACAGGGACTGGGAGGGGTGGGGGGTGGGGTTTTATTGGGGTTCTTCATGGTAAAAAATAAGTTTTGGTAAAGGGAAATGTGTTTGATATTTGCATGACTGAGACCTAAACCTGAAAGCTTTGTAACCTTTCCCACGGTGATTCAATAAAGAAAGAAAAAAAAATTGAAAAAAGGGGTTCATCTTCACCACCCCTCCACCCCAGAATCACCTGCACCCCGACTTAGGGTGTGTAATTCCTTCTTTTATTCCACGGGGGCTCCGAGAGGGAGGGAGGGAGGGAGGAAGGGAGGAAGGGAGGAAGGGAGGAAGGGAGGGGAAGGGAAGGAGAAGGGAAGGAGAAGGGAAGGAGAAGGGAAGGGGGAAGGGAAGGAGAAGGGAAGGGGGAGGGGAGGGGAAGGGGAGGGGGAGGGGAGGGGGAGGGGAAGGGGAGGGGGAGGGGAGGGGGAGGGGAGGGGAAGGGAGGGGAGGGGAAGGGGAGGGGAGGGAAGGAGAAGGGAAGGGAAAGGGAAGGGGAAGGGAAGAAGGGAAGGGGAAGGGAAGGGAGGGGAAGGGGAAGGGGAAGGGGAAGGAAGGAGAAGGGAAGAGAAGGGAAGGGAAGAAGAGGAAGGGAAGGATGGAAGGAAGAAGGAAGGGGAGGGAGGGAGGGAGGAAGGAAGGAAGGGAGGGAGGGAGGAAGGGAGGGAGCCAGGAAGGAAGGAGGGAAGGAGGGAGGGGAAGGGGGAAGGGAGAAGGGAGAAGGGGAAAGGGAGAAAGGCGAAGGGAAGGGAAGGAGGGAGGGAAGGAAGGCGGCTCTGGTCCCCGAGCCCGCAGGAGCCCGCCCCGACATCGCCCAAACCCGGGCACATTCCCAGCAGCACCAAGGCCGCCCCCGCGCCCAGGCTGCCCGGCAGCGCCGGGTCCGTCCCAGCCATCTCCGGGCGCGGGGCCGGTGAGGCACACGCGGTGCTCGCCCTCCCCCAGGGCCCCGTCCGGCTCCCCGGGACTCGCCCAGCCCGGCCCGCGGCTCGCCAGGGCCCCCGGGTCCGCTCGGGCCGGCTCCGGACAGCGCGGGGCCAGGCCGGGCCGAGCAGCCGAGTCCGGGGTCGTCCGCGACCGGCCTGGTACCGCGGGGTACCGCGGCGGGGAGAGGGTCCGGGGGCCCAAGGGACGGCGCTTCCGCCCCCGCCGGGACGCGCTCCCCGCGACTCACACTTCCATGCCGTCCCCGCCGCGTCCGAGCCGCCGCCACGGCCACGCCCGCCTCCGCGCCGGGTGCCTGCTCCGCGCCGCGGGGCGCGCCGGGAACGCCGCGGAGGACGCCGGGAGCGCCGCGGGGGACGCCGGGAGCGCCGCGGGGGACGCCGGGAGCGCCGCGGGGGATGCCGGGAAGCCGGGGGCTCGGCTCTGCAGGGCTAGTCTGGCGTCGGGTCCCGGAGCTCTTTGTGCTCCGGCGGCTCCGTGTCCGCAGACAGGGCTTGGGGCGTGCTGTAGTCGGCCGGTGGCAACAGAGTCTTAATAAACTACGATTCCGAGTTTAATAACGATGGAATAAATGACGATTCGGGTGTTAATAACAGCCGGGTAGGTTGCTGTTATTAACCTGAGTTCCCAGGAGTGCAAGAAATTCAGTGTGTGTGTTGGGGGGGGAGGGGGCGTTTGCCTTGCACGAGGCCCACCCCGGGTTCGGTTCGCAGCATCCCATATGGTCCCACGAGCACCGCCAGGAGTAACCCCACAGCATCGCCGGGTGTGACCCAAAAAGAAAAAAAAGAAAGAAGGAAAGAAAAAGGAAGATAGATCAGTGTGTCCTATCACTGGATGCTTACTGAAATGCTGTGATGGGGGCTAGTACACTGAATGACCCCAGTATAAACCGGAAAATGTGAAGAAAAAAGCCTGCTAGGGGCTGGAGAGATAGCACAGCGGGTAGGACGGTTGCCTTGCACGCGGCCAACCTGGGTTCGATTCTCAGCATCCCATATGGTCCCCCGGGATTCTGAAGTGCAGTTCCAGGAGGAACCCCTGAGCATTGCTGGGTGTGACCTAAAAAGAAAAAAAAAGCCTGTTAATGACAGTTTAAACTACAACACCGTCTCATATGGAGCTTTTTGCAAGAAACAAAAAAGAAAGGGAAAAAGGAGGAGGGGGATGAAAGGAAAAGAAGATCTTCCGGCTGTGTTATGCTGTGCTATGCCCACATTTGTGGAATACAGGATCCAGGTCTACACACTCTGGTTGACTTTATTTTTTTCCTTATTATGCTCCCAGGGGCCCCGGGGGCTGGAGAAACTCTCACCCCAACCACCTCCAGTGAAACCCCGGAGAGAGGTCCCAGCTCTAAGGAAACTTTTTATAAGGGAAATTCCCAAACCAGTAGTTCACTTACTATCCAAATAATAGCACTGTAGCACTGTCCTCCCATTGTTCATCAATTTGCTCGAGCGGACACCAGTAACGTCTCCATTGTGAGACTTGTTAATGTTTTTGGCATATCCAATATGCCACAGGGAGCTTGCCAGGCTCTGCTGTATCGGCAAGATACTCTCGCTAGCTTGCCAGGTTCTTCAAAAGGGAGGGAGGAATCGAACCCCAGTTGGCTGCATGCAAGGCAAACGCCATACCTGCTGTGAGTTTACTTATTAGGGTGGACCTGGCAGAAGAAGTTTACTACTTTTAATTCTTATCATCCCAGATATAACACTATACTGCTTTGGTTTGGGCTGTTTTAACTTCTTTTCATGAGCGTTAGCACAATGGGTAGGGTGTTTGCCTTGCACGCGGCCGACCCAGGTTGTATTCCTCCATCACTCTCCGAGCGCCTGGAGAGCTACCAAGAGTATCCCACCCACACGGCAGAGCCTGGCAAGCTCCCTGTGGTGTATTCGATATGCCAAAAACAGTAACAACAAATCTCACAATGAAGACGTTACTGGTGCCCGCTCAAGGAAATCGATGAACCACAGGACAGTGCTACAGTGCTTTCATGCTTTTCTTAGACCATAAATCACTCATCCATTCCACAATTTGAAGTCTTTTTTTCCTCCAGGTTCTAATACCTCTTTCTTTAAAACCACATTCCTCCTCCTGGTTCTATCCCTGGCACAAATATGCTAGTCACATGCAGCCCCAGAACACCTCCCCACAGCCCACTCCCCACTTGCTCCCTAAGCAGCCCCCTATCCTCAAGACTTCTTGAGCACCACTTGGAAGGCCTCCCAAAAAATAAAAATAAAATCATGTTTCTCTGTCTAATCTATTTTATCTGTTATTATATCTCAATAACTATAGCTTAATAATAAATTCATCTCTTAAACTGATAACCCAAATAAGCCACATTTGGGCCCTAGCAGGAATGAAATAAGCTAGCAAATGACTTCACACCATATATAGAGAGGGTCTTCATCACCTATCCAGTGGGATGTTCTAGAAGACCAGTACCAAGCCGGTACGCGGATAGGGCATTTGCCTTGCATGCAGCCAACCAGAGTCCAATCCCTGGCATCCCATGTGGTCCCCCAAACACCACCAGGAGTAATTCCTGAGTGCAGAGCCAGTAGTAACCCCTGAGGATCAGTTGGGTGTGAACCCATAAAAGCAAAAAAAAAAAAATCCAAGTGGCTTTACTAATGATTCATTCAATAGTCATGATCTCAACTAACAGAAGGAGAACAGAAGCCTTGCCAGAGACATGTACATAGCAGACTTTAATGGAAAGGAGGATGCAAGGAAAGAAACAGATGTTTCAGGCAAGGCCACCAGGCCACCTTCCCTTCTGGGAAGGATTTCAGACCAACTGGTTCCATCCCAGGCAAGCACAGAAACCACAATTAAGGGAGGTTTTATCTTGGTTTGATAATATGGGCATTTCATTACAAGTAGCTCCATCTGGAACCTGTTCTCTTTTTTTTTTCCAATCAGACTCACCTTCTCTACAGAGGTTAGATATCCCTCAAATGCCACCTACATAGATAAAGGTGGCATCATGTAAGCCTGTGCACACACACACATGAACACAGTAGAGTTCTGAGCCTCTCTGTACATTTGCCTCTGGCCTCCCTGTAGAGAAATGATGCTGTTCTTTCTGAGGCATGGCCTCCCACGTGACACCAACGCTACCTGTGCTGGGGCTTCATTCTCTGACTGCTAGAGTCTGTAGGGTCAATCGAGAGGGCAATCAAAGTTGACAGACATAGCTCGCCTGCCTTTCAATAAGCAGAGGCCTTCACTCCACACTCTTAGGAGGGAACATTTCCCTGGAGCATCCTTTGTTCTCATCTCCTTGCCAGTTGCTTCAGGCTTGATTCCTGATACTCCAACTACATGGGGTTCTCTTAGTAAATTCATAAAATCTTTTTAAAAACAGAATCGTGCTTGGCACATCAGAGACATCGTACAAGGTTTAAGGCATTTGTCTTACTTGCAGATGATTTTATCTGATCCTCAGCACCATACTTCCTGAGCACTGTCAGGAGTGATCCCTGAGCACAGAACCAGAAGTAAGCCCTGAGCACACTGGGCATGACCCCAGAACAAACAACAACAACCAATTTTTTTTATTTTGCTTTTTGGATCATACCCGGCAATGCACAGGGGTTTCTCCTGGCTTGTGCCCTAAGAAATTACTTCCAGTGGTGCTCAGGGACCCATGTGGGATGCTGGGAATCGAATTCGGGTCAGCCATGTGCAAGGCAAATGCCCTACCTTCTGTGCTATTGCTCCAGCCCAAACAACAAAAATTTTTTAAAAAATAGTGCTTGACACCTATAAAGCACTACATAAGAGGGCTTATTAAAATTAACCTACAGAGGCTGGAATGATAGCACAGCAGGGAGGGTGTTTGCCTTGCACATGGCTGACCCGGGTTCAATTCCCAGCATCCTATATGGTCCCCTGAGTACTGCCAGAAGTAATTTCTGAGTGCTGAGCCAGGAGTAACCCCTGTGCATTGCCAGGTATGACCCAAAAAGAAAAAATAAATAAATAAAAATAACCTACATACTTGATGTCTTCTATTTAGCATAGATATAAAAATACAAATTCTACTTTCAGAATTCTGGTCTTGGTTCATATTCTAAAACTATCACTTGATCACTTGACATCCTGTTACTCATCAATTTGCTCGAGCTGGCGTCAGTAACATCTCCATTCATCCCTGTCACATGCTAGTATAGCCCAATGGTGTCTGCTCACTCCAGGAACACGAAGAGCCTTAAACTGATCATTCAGGGTCTTGACGAAGAAGTCTGACCATCTCGTAGGTGGGCGGCCAGGTGATCTTTTGACATCCCATGGAATCCAGTCAGTAATGGCTCTAGTCCAGCGGTCATCTCCAAGTCGCATTACATGTCCAGTCCATCTGATTTTCGATGGCTTGGCAAGCGAGACAGCATCCCTGATTCTCGATCATCAACAGAAGTTGGAACTCTGGGTTCTTTCTCTCATTTGAGTGAAGCATGATACTCCAAGCATAGCTCTTTCTATTCCTCTTTGGGAGACCTGAATAGCACTCTCATCCTGTTTTCATAGGGCCCAGGTCTCTGAGGCATATGTTAATGCAGGAAGAACAGTGGAATCAAAGAGATGTGCCCGGAGCCAGAGGTTCTTCGACCTCTTAAATATTTCTTTGATGCTCTTGAAAGTATTCCAAGCCATTCTCTTCCTCCTGTGCAACTCGGGTGCCAGATCATTTTTTTCATGTTTAGTTCTCGACCTAGGTAAACATAACTGTTGCATTCGGAGATGTTCGTTCCGTTGAGAGCAAATGGAACATCAGGAACTAGTTTGTTTCTCATAAACATTGTCTTCGTGAGATTTAGCTGTAGTCTGACCTTTCCACACTCACGGTCGATATTGGCCAGCATTTGTGCCGCTTGGCTAGTGTTTGGTGTTATTAAAACGATGTCATCAAAAGCGGAGGTGGTGTAGTTGCCAACCGTCTATCTTCTCTCCCATTCCTTCCAATTCCAGTTGTCGCATGACGTTCTCGAGGGTGGCACTGAAGAGTTTCAGTAAAATGGTATCACCCTGCCGAACCCCTCTCTTGACATGGATAATCACTTCCTTGTAGAATGGTGAGATCCCGGTAGTGAATCCATAATACAGCTAACGGAGGATTCTGATGTATTGAGTTTGAAGGCCCTGTAAGGCTAGGGCTTCAATGACCACTTCAGTCTCAACAGAATCAATGGCCTTCTTTAAATCAATGAACATTAGACAGAGCGGCATCTTGAACTCCCGAAAAACCTCAATAAGCTTGGTTACCGTGTGGATATGGTCGACCGTGCTGAATCCTT